TCAGACCTTTTAAGTCTGCACTTCAAAACGACACATGAGCATGAATTCAGGAATAACCCCAAGCTTTCGTCTCTAACTGAAACTAAAAGAATCTAAGCCATTTGAATTTCATAATAATTATGTACAATACAAGCTTAATTGAAACTTTAGTATATCCGCCGTGTTAACGATGCATCTTAAAAATATTTTCCAAAAACATCGACGCTCAAAGCATGCAAAACAGTATGCGTTATGAAACCATAAACTGCAGCACCCCAGTGATTCAGTAAGCATATTAAATTACAGGTAATAAAAACTTTACAATGGGTGGCAAAAAGGCATGCAATAGTGATGTGAGGCGGGGAATGCTCACCGAAGCGGTAAGAAAATAAATTGTAACCTGTAAGTAAACAGAACCTTTTTTTAAATTAGTTTATTTATTAACAACTTTCAAATATAAAATGTGAAGTTTAATTAATTGGTTTAAAATAGGTCCTAATATTGAATAGGTACCTACATTAAAATGTTTCTAAATAGTGTGAACAGTTTTTAAATTGATACCAAATTATGTAGGTTCTGTAAAAATAGACTGACAGTTCTAGATTCGCATGTCTATCAATAATTTTATGTGCCCTACTTTTGTCTTACATTTACGGGCATACCTAATAATACTAATCTGCGTAAATATGTCATCCCAATCCCAACTTTATAATATATATATATATATTTATTTATATATTTAATATTATAAATGCGAAAGTAACTCTGTCTGTCTGTCTGTCTGTTACGCTTTCCCGCTTAAACCTCGCAACCGATTTTGATGAAATTTGGCATAGAGATAGTTTGAGTCCCGGGAAAGAACATAGGATAGTTTTTATCCCGGTTTTTGAAACAGGGACGCGCGCGATAAAGTTTTTCTGTGACAGACAAAATTCCACGCGGGCGAAGCCGCGGGCGGAAAGCTAGTGTTAAATATGTTTTGAAATAACTTTATTTAAAGTAACTTTGAATAATAATCATGTCCCAACACTAAACGCCTCGTCCATCAGGGATGCATGCTCTTCCCGGCTTGTGATTTTATGCGACATAAAATTATGAATGAAGGATGTGGATTTATAAGCCTTACTTGGTGTCAACCTTCGTGAGAGTAACGTGGACTAATTTACAAAAAGCTTAATTTAGAACAGTCTTTCCCAAAGTGGGCGATATCGCCCCCTTGTGGGCGCTGCAGGCTTAAAGGGGGGCGGTAAGAGACCCAGAAAAAAAATCGGGACGTTGTGTAGAGGCTTGGGAGGCGTCATTTACTAGGACTCTTAGACATCGACTGAGCTCGACTCTCGACTACAAATGGGGGCGCTAAAAAGAATTTATTCTCAAAGTGGGCAGTAGAGAAAACAAGTTTGGGAACCGCTGATTTAGAAGCTCACCATTTTAGTCATTGCTTCGGAATGAACAAAATGTAAGTTGTGTTTTAGACTGTACATCTTTAGATAGTTAAATTCAGTTTCATAAAGATTCTATAAGATGAATACAGCACAAGCAAACTTCAGTTTATTATTGCTTTGCTAGGTCCAGTATCGACGTCTTTAAATTGCATAAGTTTTTAAATTAGGTCGAATTATATATCCGGAGTCGGATTCTTCAGAAGTTCCGCTGTCCGGGCACCCGGGTGGCTATAAATTGTTCAAGAGAACAAATAACTTGACTTTAGAAATTAGCTTCAAGTAATTGTTGAAGAGGGAATAGACTGTATAACTAAGGAAAGATGAGGCAGACGTTTTTCGTATAATGATTAGGCTACGCAGGAAAGGTCGGATCGATAGCTACACTTAGTACTTTTAGGTACCTATACAACTTTGCTACTTTATACACTACAAGGATAATTCGCTATTCGTATGTACTAAAAGGCTTCCGTCAATTCTGCGTTTGATGCCCAATCGGCCGTCAGTTCTACGTACTATGTACTGGCACATAGTACGTAGAACTGACGGCCGATTGGGCATCAAGGTTCTGGAGTGGAGACCATGTATCATTCAATCAATCGATCTAGAAATCATAGAGGCCTATTTTAACAACGGACGTCCTGCGGCTGATGAGAGAAAAGGCTCCTCCACTTACCTAATTTATAAAGAAGTAAGTTTGTATCGATATTAATATTGAGAATTTGTATCCAATGTTAAAGTGTTACCGTGTTGGCTGTGCAAAATCCTGATACCAGATTGTATAAGCCACAAATAGCCCATATTTTTAGTCCTGGTATTGTTATTATAATCCCAATATTGTAATCAGTGCTTCATTTGCCACATTATGTATACTAAACCCCTGTTACTAAAAATATTATTAACTAAGAGTTTTAAATCGTCATTCAGTTATATCTTTATTTACAGAATCAATTTGCATTACCTCACTTTTCGTAAAGAATACATGCGAAGACGTTAATTAAATTCTCCTGATAAAAGATAAATCGATTAATTGAAAAATTAGCGCTTAAAATATCGATTATCATTTTAATTTCATGTTTCTGCTTGCGTACGCAAAACGTGTCATTATGGCATTATCGAACATGAATAAGTTAAATTAATATGGTTTTCTTAATTTTTTACAAGAGCATCCTTAATTTGGGCAATTATTTAAATTTTGGTAAAGGTCATCAATATACACGTCAAACCAGTTGAGGTGAGAAAGTTATCAAAATTAACTTATCTACGTACGAATTTGCATATTCAGGGGTCTATACGACAATAAAGTACAAAATTATTTTTGTTTACTGTACAAAATTATTTATGTACCTTGATGTAGGTAGGTACCTCTATTGTAGTATGTAATACCTATTAGTCTAATTTCTTTAAAACTGTTATTTTTTTAATATTACCTAATTTACAGGAAAACCCTTCAGAAAACCATGATTAATCTAACCATCTTCCCAAAAAGTATACTGTCGTGTCATGTTTTCTCTTTCTTGGAAGAGTCAAATGTATACGTCTCATTTTGGACTTCGTAGCACATTTCCCATTTTCTTGTGAAATTTCTCGTTTATAAGGAGGAAGTTAATTGAAAATAGCTTCGATGCTCACATTTTTATATACGGAATCTCTCCACTGTTGATTGCCTTGGAACTTAATTTTTTTCCATACAAACTGCCTGCAATTACCGACCGATGCAAAGTGATGCTTCATTGAGCGAAGCTTAATCACATCGATAAAAACTGAATGACACGCTTTAATAGTGTCGCGAACAAAGGGCTGTAAAACTTTATCGACATCGAGTCTCCTTTTGTTTGAAAGTTGTTCGAATGTCAGGCTAAGTAATGTCCGGTGTCAGGTAAAAAGATAATTTGTTGGAATGGTTACGTGGGCGGTTATTTCATTAACTATGGGCATTATGGCAGCAGTGAGTTAATTACGAGCTTCTGACATCTGAAAGATACTGAAATCGTAAACTCGATATTTTTCATAATATAACTTTTTGGCTTCTAGTTTTATTTTGTTCTGTGAGTTTTTTAATGTGATTTCATGACTAACGTGGAAATTCTCATAGTTTGTACATATTAATTTGACGTTTTGTAGATTACTTTGAATCATTTGGTTGTGACTTTGGAAAATAAATTAAAGGATGAGCTAGAAATTACTTTTCACGCTGCTATAGAATCAAACCAACGAAAACTAAATGTCCCACGCACCATCAATCTATCGATACCGATGATTGAAGACATCACTACCACGCCCGCGGTCGTCCTTACGCAAATTACACCCCACATCGCTCACTCTTACAGTTTGCACCTCTCGCTCGTTTTGCAAATTTATATGAATCATTATTGGCTTGAATTATAGTACAGCGAGTCGTGTCTGTACAGACTGCATGGGAGGATGTATGAAGATAGTTTTTTGTAGACAAGTTTATATGGAATGTTGAATACATTGTATTAAAGATGCTTGGGAAAGTTGTAAGTATAGTGATGTTTCCTTACTATGTCGTTATCTTGAGATAGATAATACTGTGTCTTAAATAGGCAAATTATTAGTATTAAATTAGTAAAATATATAATGTAGGTTATTATTTTTGGAGGCATACGAATATCCAAACTAAAAGTTAGTTTCTACAGCAGGTTTTGTAATTGCTAATTTAACCTATTTAACCAGCTCTTATTTCTTTATGTGCAATGAGTAAAATAACTGTGCTGTAGCTAAAATATAAAGACACGGGTCTTAACGCGACGTTTATAATGAGTTACATTATGTACTCACGGCTTGACGTTTCGGCTGCTATGCTGCAGTCGTGGTCACAGGCAGACTGGCGGCTCATGGCGTCGTGCTGTTACTGACTGAAAAAGTATTGCCTTTTTCAGTATCACACATTACAAATAAGACGTAATTAGGCCTTTTTAAACTAAAATTCCGAGACAAAAGATTGCATGCTGAAGTTTATTCAAAATATACACATACCATCTCCAACTGCATTCGTGGCTCCACACCAAACTGCGCATCAATAACGCATAGAGGTGTTATCAAGTCCCCTTTAGCTTCGGTAAGAAGCCTTTCTTCAGTGTGCTCCGCGTATATTTCAAACGAAGAGTCGTCCCATCGTGATGATGTAAGACCGAGCGCCCTTTATGGTGAATAGCTGTTTAGTTTATATTGAAGTTATGGGTCTTTATGTATAGGCGTTTGAAAGTTTTCGTAAGAATATTGATAGGCAATTAGATTAGGAAAAGCTACTATTATTAAATTATTCAGGACTTGTTAAAAATTGGTGAACAAAAAATATTTTAAGTTTGGGTGAATTTGGAAGTGGGGTAACTGATGAGATGTATAACTCTTCCGTGCCACAAATAATATAATACACTAGCTTCTACATTATAAATAAATTCTATGTTTCCAAGTACTAGGAAATGTTGCAAAGTCCAATCTTTTATTCCTTGAATGAATCTATTGAGAAAACCTCTTTTAATTTAGCATAGAGTACTTATTAGTCTGTCGTATTTCATAGACGTTTAGGAATAAACTGTCAGTCATCTCCGCAGCAAGTCGCCTACAAAATGTACATTAAAAATATTCCAATCTTTTCCAATATTATCTTATTAGTCTCATTATTCTACAGGATCAAGGGCGACTTTGGCGTTATTAAAGAACAAAGCCAAATTGCATCAAGACCTCAGCTCGAAAACAATTTTAACAGAACTCCGAGTGAGCCCGCAATTACAACCGCTATTACAGAGGACGATGAAAAATTTGACGATAATGAACTCAAGAAACTTTTTGTGCAAAATTTTAAATCATATGAAAATTTGGAGAAGGAAAGAAACGGGAATGGCACCCACGGGACTGTGCGAAATACAAGGGACGTAGCGAATAATACTTCTAAGGTCGGGATAGAATGCCTCTCGTGCTTTGCAAATGGGACCTCGTCGGCTGATACTAACTGTTATAAGGGGGTGTAAGTATCACTTTGTATTTAGCCTGGAATTATTTTTTCAATTACTTCTATCTTAAATGGAAAAGGAAAATTGTACAGTTAGAACACTAATTAGGTTTTGTCTTAGGTAAACAGTGTATGGATAACCCTTTTAAAGCAATGAAATAATAATAATCTAATTTAAAAACCCAAGAGTTTAGATCTATCTGATTGAGAACTCAAAACAGTCATTCTAAAAGTGCAATCAATTTCAACTTAAGTACCTATAACTAATGTAGCTCAAATTTTATTGGTGTTGATGTTACTTTAGCATTTTTTGTTCTAGATCTTCAACAGTTAAGTGTTCAGATGCTGAACAATGTTTCGTTGAACTCCATCCCCAATACTTACGCCGTGGTTGTATCTTACCAACGAGGGTCAACAGGACATATTACTGCAAATGCCCGCTGTGCAACGACAAGCCATCATACGATGTCAGTTACTACAATTACAATTCGATCAACGACTGGACTTTTGACAACTTCTTATTGCAAAAACCATTGGCCGGCTTAGATCTTATGTGCAAAGTTTGCGATACATCTGGAACTAATCAAGTTTATGATAAGAATTGCAGACAAGGGAGAGGGTGAGTTTATTTATTATATTTTTGTTTGCTATGATTGTTGTTATTGTTATGAAGTTTAATTGGATGCTATTTTTGGCTTGTGATTGTAAGAGGATAACTGAATCTCATTGTTTTATGATACTCATTTTATTAGTTATGGCTATAAACATGATGTAGCCCCGAGAAACACTTAACACTACACTCTTCTGATTCTAATTTAATTTTTCAGTGCCGATTATATGGTTTGCGGCCATAATCAATTATGTTACATTAATATTGATGACGAAGTCGACCATGTATCCAGAGGCTGCAAGTCAAAGCCAGTTTATAATACGATGTATTTTTTCTGCAACCGAAGTGGATGCAATAACGCTGAGCACTTGAATCCGAAATTGGCATTTCGAGCACTGCCTACATTGATGAATGAGAAAAAAATTAAACGCGCTAGAAGTAGCGTGGGAAAAATCCACCTTCATCGTATTAATTATTTCATCTGGATATGCATCCTTTTTATTTCAAAATATTAACTCGTTCTGTAATCTATGAATTCTGACAGAAAATTTATGACGTTTGACATGATAGCATGGTGTCTGATTTGCAAATGTAACAAAATACAAAAATGCGAGCTGAATATCTTTTTTACTTGATCTCCATTTACGCACAAGTTTCTTGTGAAGATACCGGAATCGTCAAAAGTAAGAATCCTTTGCCTTATTTTAGAAGACAAGTAGAAGAACTTACTGAAGATAGTACAATAGAAACTACTTTGTCTGACGATTTGAAAAACAACATAGTTTCATTTCTTATCAAAAATGCTAAAAAAATCTACAATGAGCTCGATGAAGTCAGTAACTTCCCATCTCCTTCAGTATGTACTTCAACTAAAGAGTATACTTTCATTGGTACAACATCTAATAAGCCCAGTGACTTCTATCATGATAATGATATTGATTCAAATTCTACACCAACTTCCGATACTACTAATACACCAACCGATATTACTGCAATATCAAAACCTAGTAGACCGTATTCAAATGTAACATCAAATGTCTCTGATAAAGATATTATGGAATTGTCAACAACCGCATATGATTTAACCGAAAAAGAAGAATTAATGCATCTCTCAAAAAATTTAATATCTTATGAAACAGATCGAAAGGAACGAGACAATGAAATACAAACTTTGCTCCATTATGGAAATGGGTCCCTGACTGACAATGACCGCATACCCGATCATTTGAGATCGTGTATCATATGCAATAATGTTGTGATGGAGGAGTGTAATAATCCAACGAAACGACTGTGAGTTTCTTGATCATTTTTAAATAATGTGTAGTATTGANATTATTGATATGAGTTCTTAAAATACATTCACACTTATGCTAGGTTAAAATACAAGATTTTAAACTTCACCCACACTGCAATTTGATGATATTTTTTCATAATTATCTGCTCCACAGTATCCCAGCGACGGTCTGCCAACGTGACGACGATTTGTGCTATTCAATGCACACTCCGTTCGGAGTGATAGATCGTGGATGCTACAACGCAAATCACAACCTCACCACCTACGTATGCGCGTGCAATCTATGCAACTACATATCAATTTCTGAAATGCCGTACATATTTTCCAAGAAGCGGGAATGGGTCGATAATGTGGTTGAACTCTCACGTACAAGGCACTTTAGAAAATCTGTATTTAAGGATATGTCTTGCTTGAAATGCGAGTCGAATGCGACGGCTAAGACGGGAGATATGCTTGATACTGCTAACTGCTTAGAAGGAAATATGTGAGTATTTTTATCGCATTCTTATGAACTGTTAGACACCGTTTTAAAATGGTATCAGAACTTTATTTTTAAGTTATCAATTTGACACCCTTGACGATGAAATTAAGATACCCATCGTATCTGTTACCTATTAATTTGTTAATGCTCTTACAATATAATGCTTATAGTTTTCTTGTTATACAATTCAACTTTAGTAATTTAAGCCTACATACAGACTGTCAGTCAGTTCCTCTATAGTTTTTAGGGACAATCAATTCTATTTAACTAAGAGTAAATTTTTTATTTCACATTTTGTGGTTTTAGTAAAACTATTTATGGGATCAGCTTTTATGTACGAGTATTGTTGGCACTTGTATTATATGCGAGAGACATAAATTGCCTCAACCGTCTGACAATCGTCTGGACAAACTAGGCCATTCTTCTATGATTACGGTCCACGTTGCGCTCTACCATCGTAATTGAGATCAATGGTTAGACTTGAACAGCTTATATTTCATTCCAGTGGTTCCCTACCTATTGAAGAATGTAAAGAAGATGAAATATGCGGTGTGAAGGCAATCAGGAACGATGGTTACATGTGGCGAGGATGCGTTAAATACCCACTTTTCAACTACTGGTGGGCTCTCTGCGATACTGATCTTTGTAATTACGATACAATAACCTCCATTTACGATTTGGATTAGAATTTATTTAGTATCTTTTAATAATTTTTATTTTATTACATTTTATTTTCTTTTATCACTTTTTTAATTGGTAGCTCAGAAATAATACCTTCGCCACTTAATTTACACTTTCACGTAGAGTGTATTAGACTGAAATTATTTTAGTTTTACCAAAATTCTAGATATTAATATTTGATTGATAGTTTGAAGATCAAATGCTTTTCAAGTTAATTGGTGCAAATTCAAAAGGCTTGCTACTGGAAATGTGTATCAATATTTTATCAAACGAAAAGCCTGGCAGCCCTCCGTCAGAGAAATACGTTTAGAGAAAGTGGTTAAGATTAACGGAGCAAGCCCTAAGTCAGGGTTTCCCAAACTGTGAATTTTATTTCGCTATCATAGCACACTAAGATACATTTGTATTTATTTTTATCAACATTCAATTAGTATCAACGTTAAAGCAAAACATATAAATTTAGGGGCACCAAAATATTACTTTCTTGGCTCAATAATAGTAAAACTCCACGACTCGAATACCGTTTTACAGAACAAAGTAGGTCTTTGTCTAAGCATAGATTTTTTATCAGACCTTTCAAAGATTAATTGTGGGTGGGGTATATGGAGGGTGCAGGCAATTGTTTTTGTTTGAGAACCATTGACTTTTTTGGACGTAGGTAGCCATGATCCAATTGAATTTCACGGTTGCAGAGGATCCCTTTGAAGGATTTCATATGGTGGAAACAAGTCTGATGAACTTATACTTTGAACCGCTGATCCGGAACTGCCGATAAACATCTGAGTGCATTTTAGCTGTGCATAAAATATTGCATGTTCTTTAGTTGATTTTATTTGAGCCTTTGAGCCTACTTAAAAAACCTTACTTCCTTTCGTTGTAGTTTCCTTCGGGCTAAAATTCTTGATAATAGGTAAGCTTAGTTTTATGAGTCTCTCGGATGTAGTAGATCACGAAAAAATCGATGAAAATGAAAAAGCACCGTAAAGTGGTGTAGAACATAAAAATCTTTCAAACTTCTGCGTTAAACCTATTTGTAGTGACTAAATCTCATGATATTTGGTGATCTGATAGATCTTTATTATCTATAACTACGATGGTCCTAAACTTAGATCGATAAGTAGTATCACAAATTTCTCTTTACAAAAAAATACTACAACGTTTATGGCACTCCTTACCTAACCTCGTACACGTGATTAGGTTTCTGGCATGCCTCTAAGGATCCACTCACACATACGAGTATTTCACTTGCGCTGTAGTATACAAAGGATTCTCTCCCCAAATCCCTTTTGGTGGAAAGCCAGCTTGAATCTTAGCAGCGACATTTTAATAAGTCAAACTGAAGTCTCTGACTAGGCATAAATAACTTTGTATTTCTGGATCAACAAGATTGCTTTTGACTTCAACAGTTTAAACAACAGTCTGGGCGGTCAAGGTTGAACTTAAGAGTCAGTAAATATTCTTTTGCGTCAAGCCAGAATCATTTATGCGGGCACAGCTCCAGTTTTAGAGGTAGACTTATTTAGTGTCAGCGTTTATGTCATTTTTATAGTACGAGTAAGACCCTTTAAATTGTAGCCAGTTAGTATGAAATTCGTAAATTTTGGAACTATCGGAATCTTTCAATTTAGCAGTTACCTAGGTATTACACGACGAACTGCTTTTATTCAGGAATTTAGTAATCAGAGTTACTTAATGGCTGACTTTCTTCCAAGTAAAACTAAAGCTCACCTCGTTTAAATTCCCAAGAGCATTCTATCGATAATATAAATTGCCTATTTTTACTAACGAAATATTCTAAACTGTAATTTAATGTTGTTTTTGTTCACTTACTCTTTGTTTTGTTTTTATTACGATCTCGATCGAACGTTTATTAATATAATCCCAAACCAATCCGCAAAATGAAAAGGAAGCGTTGTGTACTACCTCAAAAGATTGGATAGCCGACTCAAACGAGTGTAATGTAGGGAAACTTCAATTACAAGGGTAAGGAAGGGAGAAAACCACAGGCAAATACGTATACACACATGGACAAGGGCTTCCACAAGGAACCCCATTTGGCGAATTGTTCAAAACATATTTTGAAGTCATCTCTCATTGATATTAGAAACAAAATGTCCTGATAACTTGCCAGGGACCGGCATTAGCGTAATACTCGGTAGGAATGTCCCCATAATGACCGCATATATCTTTTTAATGAACTACTATCCTGCTTTTGCTATGCGAAAACGGGCTTTCAAGGCGACTCCCAAAATATATTGTTCGTCTTATAAATACCAGTCTACTCTTTCAAGTACACGCTAAGTGAATTTTCCCATTAAAATGAAGTTTTATTGCCTCGTCCTATTTTAAATGAAATTTATTATATGAAAAGATCCCTTATAGCTTTATCATGCCGAATAAAATGTTCATTTCGGAGGATTATGCGATGTGAACTCGATTGCGTGCGTAAATCAAATAAAGTTTTCATATAAAAGTGGATTCGATCCAAGGGCTTACGAGATAAGAGTGGTTCTTGAAATTTTGTAATTCAGAACACTTCAATGGTGTTGTGTGTTATATAATGAAAGAAGATTCGGGATTCGCATGGTATTCATTTGAATTTGAGCAATGAAGATAATTTTACTCAAATATTCCATCGTGATTCTATTATTGAGATGAAATGACTATGAAATTCGAAAGAGCGGGCTCATTATCATGCCCCAAAATACAAATCCCTTAACAGTGTAGATTACAACCAAATCACATATTAGTCTGACAAACAAATATTCAATCATCGCATCAAACTGTTCGCTGATAAAAAGCGTTCCTATTTTGGTCCAACAACCCGGTTGGAATTGAACAAAAAGTGAGATAATCACATCGCCCAGCGATCATTGCTTGCCCTTACTGGATAATAATAACAGTGTTTCGTTGCCGAACGGATAAGATGGTAATGAGTGGTGTAGAACGCAGAAGGCATGTTAGTTGAAATGCCTTGAGGGAGAGCCGCGTTTCTTTCAACACGTAGCGCACTGTGTGTTTAATGTTCGTATAAGGCCGGGTCCATAATGATGCTTGCCTATATAAAGTTTGGAAGTCATTAGTGCATGGATCATTCAGCCGGAGATTTCGTTTTGTTCTTAGTGATGACAGCGTGTCGAAATACGACGAATGGTACCTATAAAGTGAGTTTTAAAAGATTTAAAAATAGATAGGTACTGGTGGAAAATGTATATTTTGGTTGTAAATTCTACAAATACAAAATAACATAAAATTGCTTGGCAAAGAAACATAAAATTGGGATAGCCAACAACAGTTGGGTTTTCTCAGTAATTGCTTCCACGATAAACTTAAAAGCTATTTATAGAACCTTCTGGGCCTTCTATCTTCTGTCTTGAAGGTGAACCGTAGACGTAGCGATCACGACCTGAAACAAATTTGAATATTAGGTAGGTATAGGTATGCGAGTAAAATTGTCTACCTCTAAAGCACTATTCGCTAAGTAACCCTCCAATAAGCCCGCGCCTTTACCGCCTCCTAACGCAAGCTATCAAAGGCGTCTGAGCGAGCTGAAAGGATTTAAGATTCGCAATCGTGTTGCCGTAAACGAGATACCATTTAGCCAAGGGCAAACACACGGGCCTGTTCTGTTTGCAGGATAAACTGCGTCTATAAGCCTTTTGGAACGAGAAAATTATAGGACAAAGTGAAGTTCCGCAAATGCTTGGGCGACGTGGGCTTGTAAATTTAGGTAAGACCGTGGAAGATTACTCGAAGACTAGTTGTAAATCTTACTAAATTGCTTGATGGATGTGATAGGATTTGATACTGGACTGGACAAGTTTTTCTTGAATTTGAAGTTGGTAATGAGAGCTTTTTGTAGTTACCATGTTGCGTGAATTATAAGAAATATAGCAATGATAAATTGTACAATAATTCTTACATTATAAAGTAAAGTCGGTGATATTTCTAATAAAACATTATTGAGGATGAAAAATCTAGTAATCCAACAAATCTGACAAATAAAATGAGAGTGTAATCATAGTACCATAGCATAGGAAAAAGCTCCCGTAGAATTTATATCTACACAAAAAATGTTAACGAGCATCGCGTACCCTAACTGGGCATCGATTTATATCTGTTTGCTGCCCGATTTAACTTTAGCACTGAAAAATTAAGCGATGTATCTCTGCAATTTAGAGTACATTTATACCTTATACGAGCAAATATGGTGTTCAGCTCGCAACATTTATAAACATCGGACACACCGACACAAGAATTACAGTCCGCTTTTTACACGATTGATTTATTTATACGTAGGCGCCAATTTGCGAAATGTATGTACTCAGATTAAGTAGAGTTGTGAAGTTTTTAAAAGGTCGTGTTTTTAAAGGACCGGTTTATTGTGGTAGGCTTTTTAAGCTTCATGCTCACATTTAAATATGTCGATTTCAAAATAGGACCCATTGTTTTTTAATCTCTCTGGCAGAAAATCACAATGTTTATCAGAGAATTCGTTTAATGATAGATACATTTAACTAACACGGAAAATACTCAAAGAAAAACAAAGAAACTAATAGAAAGATTTCGATTAATCCAGCGAAGGAGAAAGTAATATTATGGGAATATTTCAATGATCCAACAAACAAGGCATACAACAAGATAATGGAATGATGAAACGAATGCCGATCAATATCTCTAGTAATTAAAGCAATATTTAGGTAATCTCACCACATAATCAGGAATGTAGCTCCGTCAGCGGCGACAGTAATATATTGCTGACATAAAACTCCGAGATTCGGGTAGATATCATTTCTTGAATAGTCGGTTTCCGCTTGAGAGGTACACGATCCTTCTTCTAAGTTGAACCCATAAAAATGTGGAAAAAATACTGAGATAACACGCGGTTGACATCGATCAACGTCGAACGTCAGCCAACTTGTATTATTCCGTTTCTGAAGACACTATTTTGTGTTGTGATAGCTATTGAATAATAAATTCGGAATAAGTCTCAGTATAACAAAAT